ACTAGCAATGACTGGTTTGTGGCCAGAACCAGGATCGTCAATTATTTTGCGGCGAGTATGCTCACTGATGTCGCTTGAAGCCAAGAGTAAATCAGGAGTTGTTCTGGATCCATTGTAGTGCAAATATGTAGCCGGATCCTCATTGCTATAAATAAGTTCCAGAGTGTTGCTGTTTAGCATGTCTTCAATTTCTTTTCCATCTATGTTTGTATCCTTGTAGCCCCATCTGGTGGAGTGGGCGTTGAAGTCTCCTAATACTATGGTTTTGTGTGAGATGTTCAGAAAGTCAAAGTTTGGACAATTCTGGGGAGGATTATAGACTGCATATATCTTGAATTGGTTTTGACATTTCCAAACATTTAATCTGATTATTTCACATTTGTCTTGTGTCGAGCCCATACTCTTGATTAGGTCGTAGTGTGAGGTTAGGCCATCTTTTACTCCAGTTAGAATTCCACTTGCAACTTGCCGGTGTTTAGGTAGATTGTATAGAGTGTAACCTGGGAATTGGTAATACTTCAGTTTGTCATCCGAAATGTTAGCTTCCATAATTGTGAAAATGTCTACATCATAGGTTTGCATTATTTTCTGTCTTTGGATCTTTTTGTCCGGAGACATTCCTCCAGCATTCCACTGGAGGATCTGAAGACATTGTGATTCGCCCTGGCGAGGGCGATTTTTCTTATAGCCTTTTTCAAAGCTAATCATAATTAATCGAAGTCAAAAACGTATGCCGATTGATAGACTTTTTTGCCGTAAGAAAATACGTTGTCCAGGGTGCACCACGAGGAGGTAAGTCTATCGCGCACCCCCTTTCTCAAATATATGGTAATTGATTAATTCTACCTCAATCCTGGATGTGATCATTCAAACTTTCACCCTGATCTTAAATCTATTATAAATCAGCTAATCTTTCCACTGAATGCAACTACTATTTCGGTATTGTGTCAAGAAATAATAGTACTGTTCCAGAGAAAGAAGCCTCTTTGCGATAATAAAAACGCCTATCCTTTTTCATTAATTCAAAGGAGATTGGCTGGTCTTGCAGCATTGTGTCTTCTCACGTAGTCAAGGCTCGGCCGATTGTTTGTCCAAAATAAACGCGTCGTTAATGACAACCAGCACAGAGCATGAATTAGGATTTTAGGAGTCCGACTTTTTCTCATGACGACAAAAAGTGTTTTGTTAATGTAGTATCAATGTGTACGCAGCGGAAATACTCAGAGATTTTCAGTCAATTGCGAATCGGAACAGAATTTTGCGAAGTGTCATTGGGTTCACAAACTAAGAAAACTTATCAGGGGAGGCCTTAGCTTAGAAATAACCTCTTCGAAAATTAATTATTAGTTATGACAAAAAAATATTGTTTTTGGTCATTTTTTCCGAAAATAATTTTTAAGGGCATACTAATATTACCCACACATTATTCATAATTCAAAAATCGGTTCCCAGAAAATTGCTTCAAATCAATAATATATATATATATATATAACACCCTCATCAGTGAGTTTGGACTTCATGCAGTGTTATTTAACGCCCAAAGGCCTTCTATGCCATTCCTGTTGATGGATTTTTAATTTCAATTCGGTTTTACAGGAACTAAACGATACGAAACCCAAGGCACAGGAATACCTTAGGAAGGATGCCCTATTGGCAGTAGTTGGGAATGAAAAGAAGAACCTTCAAGGCGAAATCTCGAAACTAGAGTTGAATAATCGAAAACAACTAAATGAAATAAATGCCGTAAGGGATTATTATTGACACCTTAAGCACCGACGAATTTATAGTATCAGCATTCTTGCCATTTAGTATCGTGGTTGGATGTCATCTTTGGTTGATCTACTGAAACTTGAAGACGTTGAGAACGATAAAGAGTACCCTATTCTCATGGATGTCATATCAGGTGAGCTTTTTATCCTGAAATAACCCGTTACTTGGTCAATATCAGTAGGAGGTATTTAGCCATATTCACGTTTCAGCACAAATTAAAAGGATAATTTCAAACGAGCATGAAAAAACGGCCGGTCAACGATCACGCCTCTCCCAATTCCAACAGAAGAACAAAGAACTTCGTGAGCGTAATGACGCTCTAGAAACTCAGCTAGCAGTTCTTCGTCGACGACTTGCCACATTAGAAGACGAGGAAGTTCGAAGGAATTTGTCGTCTGCCGCATCTCTCGATAGAGATCGACGAAAACTCACGAAGCAGCTAGAACAGTCTAGAGCTGAAATTAGCACTTTGCAATCGGAAAATAGTCGGCTTAAAAGTGAAATGAAGAGCACAAGTCAAAATTCGGTAGGTTTAAAACATTTTTCTTATGAACGCCTTTATTAATTCTTTGATCTATTCAATTGAAGATAATCACAAAATTGTACAACTTTCTAGGAGAGAGCCTTGAAGGAGCATGCTTTTCTGGCAGTTAAATTATCTTATGAGCTAGATTTTAGAGAACGGATATTGGCTGGCAACAGAAAAACGTATTGAAATGCTAGGAGATATATTTTGAGCAAATTATGCTGTGTGGAATTGAAATTCGAGCGAATGAAGGAGGGAACTATGGATCCGGCGTAAAAGGGGCAATGGAGGAAGAAGTAAGAACGGGAGATCTAAGGAGGTAAATTATCGGAGCCACTAGGGACAGAGAAGAGAGAATATTGATAATCGATATCCGGAAGTCACGCTTTTGCTAAGTTGGAGGTTAAATGCAGTGATTACACACAATTCTGGTAGGCGTTCGAAAGTAGATATACGAGAGGCATTTGAAAACTGTTACTTTAACGTTATATTTAGTCTATGTAGTCGTAATAAGAACTTTGCAAAGTTCGGGTTAAAGATAATATTTGGAAAGGGGTTGAGGAAGTGATTTGTAACGCTTCCAAGAACAGTTCGTTGATTCAGGCTGGAATTCATATACGTTTAATTATGAGGTCGACATCAGGGATCGTTGTATTTCCAATATGTAATCTCGATCAAGCTGAGTTCTTCCCTATGAAGTAAAGAAAAAAGTCAACTTGTAAACTTAATGAGTAGTTTGTATATGTCTTATTTGAACATGTCGTTTTATTGCCTTCAACAGTATAAATTGCAAGAGCGGTCTACCTCGAAGTGATTCAATTTAAACTCTTTCGCTAGATAACATCAGTAAACCCATGCAAGGTGAAATAAAACTTGCTAATGAATTTTCTTCATCATTTTCCTCTAGTTGGCTGCGGTTGGAACCAACGCATTGCTCCATGCTGCAGAGACTCAGGCCAAGGAGCTTCAGGGAAAATGCGATTTATTAGAAAAGGAACTTCGTGATATTCGCAATGAGAGGTCACAAAATGAAAGTGAAACGAAGCAGAAAGTAGAGGAACTTCAACGAAGTATAGACAGCCTGGAGACTGATCTGACTTATACACGACGATCGGAAACCCAGGTTATTTATTCAAAAATTGTTTAAATTATTTATAGCAAACGACAGGCTTTATGATAGTTAACATTAGTTCTTTAGTTGACTTCCGACTTCACAGAGGGGAGGGACATCAAAGTCACAAAAAGTAGAAAGTGGGAACAGAAGAGCGATTCACAGATGTTGGAGAGACAGACACAAAGATAGAGAGAGTACTGTGGAAGTGGTCGAATATGGCATACATTCCCGTCATGGTAGTTTGAAGTCGATAGCCAACTGCCGGTTAATAGACTTTTTGCCGTATGAGTATACGTTGCCCAGGGTGCACCACGTAGAGGTAAGTCTATCGCGCACCCCATGTTTAAATAATATACCTACACATTCAATATGAGCAGGAAATAGAAGAAGGAGTATCTATTAACGCAAGACTGTTCTAAAATCTATTTAAGTATGTATTTTCTATCTTCTTCATTTTAGTTATTGGAATTTAGAGAAGTTGTTGCTCGTTTACTCAACCTTGATTGCACCGAATTAAGAGTTCCTGATTTTGAAATTGTCCATCGGCTGGAGCATATCGTCTTGGCTCTAGAAGCTCCTGATATTCAAGGACTCCATAAGGATTCTTTGATGAGATCTCTTTAATATGCAGTACCATTCCCTTTACATCATTATTGACCCCCCCCCCCCAACAACCACTCAGATTTACATTTATATCATCATATCACCAGCGTACACAAATCAGTGATGTTAATGTTAAGAATCAAATCTTCACTGCTATTCAATATTTAAAAGTAAATTATATAAGTTGTTATTTTATTGATTGTAATGAATAGAACAAAGAGGAAATAGGTGAGTTGTAATGATTTCAGAGTAGTCATTCACTAAAGCGAATATCTTTCGTTTTGCTTTTTATTGTGTGTTTTATATTAGACATTTTCTCTCATCTCACGAACGTTGAACTTTCATTGGCTTATGCTCAGTTCAGTTTAACCAATAGCAAGTTTTGGGAATCGCTTTCGTACCCCGGGGTAAGGGAGTAAATATGGAAGTCTCTAGGTTGAAAAATTACCAAGCTACCACTCTCTGTATCAATTAGACTCAAATGTGCGATCGGTAATTTCGATCATTAGGGGAATACAAGTCGATTTCATGCCCCTTGTTTTTTTGGGGGTTTACACGTGTGTGCAAATTAGCAGAAGTGCATTATGTACATTAAATGATATTTTAATGGGGTGTGCGATAGACTTACCTCCACGTGGTGCAGCCTGGGTAACGTATACTCATACGGCAAAAAAAGTCTATCGACTGGCAGTTGACTTCTCACTACAAACTACCATCACCTCACTCTATGCCATATTCGACTATTTTGCNTTTGGGGGTTTACACGTGTGTGCAAATTAGCAGAAGTGCATTATGTACATTAAATGATATTTTAATGGGGTGTGCGATAGACTTACCTCCACGTGGTGCAGCCTGGGTAACGTATACTCATACGGCAAAAAAAGTCTATCGACTGGCAGTTGACTTCTCACTACAAACTACCATCACCTCACTCTATGCCATATTCGACTATTTTGCATTACTCACCTCACCTTTGTTCTATCTTTGTGTTCGTCTCTTACATCTTTGAAACACTCTTCTGTTCCCCTCCTCTCGACTTTTTTTCGTTTTGATGTTCCTCACCCTCTGTGAAGCCTGAAGTCAACTAAAGGGCTAATGATAACCATCAAGACGCCTGCCATTTGATAAAAATAAATGATTTTGTAATTGTGTTAGATATACTTTGATTATATGTTTTCACGTAAGTGAATGAAAACTTTGATTTTACAAGGTATTGGTTATTAAAGAAGTCTTGTCTTTTCTACTCTGATATTCGCATTATATCCCTTACATTTCTTAGAGCAATTCATACCTTTTTAGATGGGGTTTAACGGCTGAGGAGGAAGTCAAATTAAAATTTTAATCATTTATGAATTGAAGAAACAATTTTCTAAAAATAATCACCACCAATTGTGCGTGCACACTAAACATGGCCAAAACTTAAATATATATACAGAATAAGTTTAAAATCAAATAAAATCAGTGTTGTTGGACGATTAGGATGAAGGATCAACTCTGTGCATTTGGGCGAATTGCATGAGGTGCATAAGCATCTGATTGTCCATCAAAGTGCTGATAGAAGTAGGCGAGACAGAGGGATTGGATATGGAGGCTGGGGAAGGTCTCGATGCAGTGGAGAGGTTGAGAACATTGTCTTCAAAATGGCGCAATGGGGGCGACGTCGTCGCCAAAAAACGACCCTCCGGAAAGTCTCTCTGGTGATCAGCTACTGATGGCGACGGTGATGGAGTGGCCGAGTCGGTTGCATTTGCACATCCCTCGTTCTCCCCATTTTCGTCCTGAATTTGGTTGGTGTCACCGTCTCTTTCTGTATTCAGGCGTTTGTGTTTTGTTCGACGATTTTGGAACCATACTTTGACCTACATGAGAGAGTTAAGAAATATGACATTTTTCCAAACCTTTCAAACATGTAAAAGGAACTTTTTTAGCTTATTACTAATTATTATGAAAGAATATTATTGTTAATGGATTTGGATCGACAGATCTAGAGCTAGTGGTGCTTAAGTGAAAATGATGCTTAATTAATTAGTTGTATATATTTCCAAGAATTTGCCTCTAATTGCAATCGATATAATCGATTTTAGTATTGATCTAGTTCAGGTAGAGTTTCTATATATTGCTTCAAGCTACTGATTGAAGACACATTTTTACCCATTCTTCGCGCCAGTTAACGTTTGAATACAGCCGTGTTTGCTCTCCCCACCCCCACCCCTCCCCCCACCCGACCCGCATATTAGCCAAATCTATAATATTCACTTTGTAACTGAAGACTAGAGGTACATACTTGAGTTTCAGTGAGATCCAGTGATTCTGCAAGTCGTTTTCGCTCCTGACCCACAACGTAGTGATTAACTTCAAAAGCACTCTCCAGTCGCAGAAGCTGCGTCGGTGAAAAGGCGGTTCGAATGCGCTTTGCCTTCCGATAAGGTCGCATACCTTGAGCAATCGCATCTAAATTAGAAAACATTTCTATATATATATATATATATATATATATGTATTTGCCACGAATGAGAATCATTTTCCATGTGGTAACTAAGGCTGCATCGAAATGTATACATTACCCCCCCCCCCCCCCCTAGAAAATCTGCTTGTAAATAAATAGCATTTATCAGTATTGAAGACAATCAAAAGTTTCAAATTTTGCTGGTTTAAAATCAATCTATTTACTGAATTGGAATAGACAAACCCGATATAGGTTCATTTAGGTCAATGTGATGATGACACTTATGGGTGACAATCTTCCCAGACTGATTGGGTTGCTCACGAGCGCGCGCGCGTGCAGTGTATAACTGTGAGCAGATGGTCTACATGATTTTAATCTCATGCGTAACTAGCTGTGGGAAGGGAAATGGGCCTTTCACAGGATTGAGATGAGCCCTGGTTGAGCTTAATTTACGCGTGTACAAAAAACAGCCGGCAAGTTTGAACACATTGAGAGGGATGGGGGGGGGGGTGATGGTTTTGAAGCCAGAGAACTTATATACAAGAATAGATTCCAAGAACTGACCACGTTTAAAGTAAAGTTAATCGAAGCAATGGAAACGGTAGTTACGGTTAGATGGACTGCTAAAATTAAGTCATTTCCCAATACCCAGAGTTGAAAGGCTGCATTATGTGAATGCAGTATGGAAAAACGACTATTAACATATCGTCATAGCTACAGAGTATGGTTTAGTATCAAAAAATGGAAATGAGAATATATTATTGGGCTAACTCTGCTGTGAAACATAGCGGTGTTAGCTGGAGAAAAATAAAGAAGTTACGTTCGTCCCATTTTCATAAATGTGCGTGAACGCCTATCACCACTTAAGTAAGCATTAATTAGATTTTTTATAAGCCCTAATTTTTTAAATTGTAGGAAATTTAAAATAATTCACGTTAATAAGTTGCAAAATTGCTAAAACTCGTGAGACTTCCATAAAACTGTGCTGGTATTAATAAGAACGAAATAATTGTCTTCAGTAGACGCATAATGAAGATGATTATTCCAAATTTTATTCTCTAGGTACCGTTTACACAATCGCATATCAAATTGACGCGGGTTTATTTAGGAATATAGGAAGATATCTAATTTATATAAAAATTAAATAAACCAAGTCAGTATTTGAAATCTTAGCTACATTATGCTGCGAAAACCTCACCTGAAAAAAGAGTCCCGAACGAAAAAACTGTAGGTATGGGAGAATAATAGCGACCAATCATTTCGGGCCTTAAATTGCGTTCAACGGAAGGAATATGATTTATAAATCCAGAATTATGAAGTGGTGCCATAGGCAGTGATAGCGCTTCCATCTGATTATTATTGAATATTCGAATGATCTCTGAGAAATCTCTCTTGCAATTTTCTGTAAAACCAGGGGAAGTTGTTTGGGTTCTAATTTGTGGGCATTGAGAGAGACCAGAACCAAGAGAGGTGTTCGAGTGGGTTCCCGCTGAAGATATTAGATTTTCTACTGAAAATCCGGCCATTGTACAACCCAACTAACGTCTTTCGCACGTCTTTTATAGGTACTGCTAAAATGCTGATTTCTGATTGGTCAAAAGTGCCGGCCAAAGCAGCTTGCGAATGTTTGGGAAGTTGGCGTTTTCACACTCTGATTGGTTATTTGTTGAATTTTTGTGCGCGCTAATACTTTTTCCCGCATTGACAAAAGACTAATCAGTTAATGAAGAAACTCCTAAAAGAGAAATAATTACTCTTTTTCCCGATCACATAGACTCCTATTCATGAGTTTACCAAGAATGCCAATGTAAATGGATAATTTAAGGTTACTATTCTATGGCACAAAAGATTAGATATTATGTAAAAGTGATCAAAATTCCCTTCTCATTAAATCTGGGTATGTATTTAAGAGCGTCCTTCCTGTGCTTATCTGTAATATTTAAAATTTCAATCAAAATTTTTCATTTTTATTAGATGCAAATTCAATCTAGTAGGGCATATGAAACAAATGCCTGATGACTTAAAGTTCTTCAAGAAAAAAGACCCCAAGTTTGGGTTTACTAAGAGAATTTCGAATACTTTTTCAAGGAGACTATTTGATTAATAATATGAATGGAACAATTGTTTCCTATACTAGGGTTGAGGCTTTCCTCTGCAAGCTTACGTCTATCAAATTTGCGAAATTGCAGTTCTAAAATGGAGCGTTCATTTTTCCCCTTCTGTTCATGTAAATCTCGCATAAATTGTCCTCATGTGCATAAGATAGTCAAGTGGGGAGGGGAGGGGGAGGGGGTGAGTGGAGGCAAATAACGATAAGGGTGTGGGAGGTGGGTGGGG